AACAACAACAACTACCCAGTATAGTCCCACAAAGTGGGGTCTGGGGAGGGTAATATGTAGACGGGCCTTACCCCTACCCGAAAGGGCAGAGAGGCTGTCTCCAATCGACCCTCGGCTCAGTGAAGGAAAGGAACAACAAAACAAAACAACAAAAGAGCATTAGTAACTTCAACATAAATAGCGTAAATAATTATCTAAACATAAAAACCTAAAAGTAGAAACATAAAAACTATAAATAAAATAGCATGCAAATATTTGGGCTACAGACTGTAGTTATTTTGGGCCACCAGGCAAAAATGGAAAAGTCCCATTTATATTTCATTCTTTCATGCAACCAAACAGAAAACTTATAATTAGATGACGCGCGATCGTCCCATCGAACCTTATTCATAGCAGTCATCGCCTTAGTTGCTCCTTTCATGCCTGCAGCAACCGAAGATTGGGCAGATATTGCCTGCAAAAAGGCAAAAGAGCTCTTCAAGTTCATTTCACAGAAAGTGGACAAATGAACTGAAATCAGCATGCATGTAAAATGGTTTTGTAGAGTACCTGAGTGTGAGTCGCTATACCTCTCATTTGAGCCCGACTACCTTGCAAGTTGGCTATTTGCTGTCTAAGTCTGACTAGCTGACGTGCTAATACCTTTGTTGCTGTCTGAAAATGCAGGGGTAAACAAATGACATATGAGTTCCAAAGCAGAGAGGTAATTTATAACAGCTAATTAAGCATTCGATGCTGACACTTAAGACCCACCTCATTTCCAGTTTTAGCAGTCTTTTTTATCTCAGCAACAAGTTTCTTTTCCTGTTTCACCAAGAAATACATCAAAATGTCGCTTACAGATATTACATCGCGTGCAGAACAGTAAGTAAAGGGAGTGCGATATAAAGGAAAAAGGCAGTATAAGTTCTAAAATTGCATAAATTTCTGTCTCTCGAACAGACTCAAAATACTTTCAAGAATAGGCTAGCAACAGAAAGAAGCTCTAGACATACCTCTGATTGCAAAGCAGAAATTTCCTTCTCAATACCTACATCACAATTTTAAACTAAATTGAGTTACTCACCAATTACTTAAAAGAAGCCTTTTCACACATTGAGAACTGAAATTGTAGATACCAATGCGATCTTCCTAACTTTCCCTCTCTATTCACAGAAATTATGTCTTCCGATGGGTAAGAATTACAACTTATCAATGAATTATTATCAAGTCACTTCCCTATTTACAGAACGGTTTAGCCTAATTTACCCTCCTTTGAACATGATCTCAACTGGCTTCATGACTTATTAAAGCTAACATAAAGGTGCACTACTTATAAAAAAAAATACGGCACAGGCACAAAAAATGGGCAAGAAAAGAATTTAATCCACAATTACTGAAATGTGAGCACAGTCCAGGCCGTGAATCTTATATGACAATCTAGTCTCCCC